TGAGGGTTATAATCCCTAAACGGGGCCAAAGCCCGCCTACATAGAAAGGGGTTCTCTGCAAAAGGTATTCCGCCTCTATTATTCGAAAGAAAGAGAATTCAACTTTGTGAGTATTATAATCCCTAAGCGCGGACGAAGGCCGCCTACTCAGAAAGGTGTTCTCTGCAAAAGGTGTTAAGCCACTTTTCTTTGCAAAACAGAAAGAGAATTCTACTTTGTGAGGGTTATAATCCCTAAGCGCGGCCGAAGGCCGCCTACGCAGAAAGGTGTTCTCTGCAAAAGGTGTCCAGCCACTTTTCATCGCAAAACAGAAAAGAGAATTATACTTAGTGAAAAAAACCTGTAGAAGGGAATTTGGCCTGCGGCGCTATGTTTTTTGTAATAAAAGCCAATATTTCATAAAACCTAAAATGTGGAGTCAAAAATTCTGCGACCAACTTCGGTGATCAGTTGCAACCCTCGCATGTGTACTACTTCACTACTTTTATAAATGTTTTATCGTGGTTAAATTAACAAAAATACCATATTAATTAAAAAAAAATGGTCATGTGCATTAAAAGTGTTTACAATTAAGTCACATTTATCTATTTTACGCACTTTTGGATGATAAAGTAGATGCAATTCGCATCAACATATTAGGTGAATTTCGCAACTTTAACAGCGAATTACTTACAAACTATAAGAGAGCGCGGGTTGGGGTCTTCACTTTTTGAATCAAAATACCCTTCCCTAGACCCTAAAATTTTTTATTTTTTTTCGCGTCGATTTTCACTAAAATTTCCTCAAAGTGTGCCAGCCAGTTTGATTTACGCTTATTTCAAAGCAAAATTTGAGTTTCGTCATTTTCGCTTTTTTCAATTCTGGCATTAACCCTTGGTTTTGTTGCATACCTCTGCCCGATTTCACCTCTTCCTGATGGACTGAAAACCTCAGTACTGCAACCAGCGTTGCCACAGACACATATTTTTCTCCTACCAATACCAACCAAATCCTACCAAACATTTTTTTTGAGTTTTAATATATATTTTTTTTTAATGTAAAATTTTCTAAAAACATAGCTAACATAACATTTAGTAAAACTAAAACACAGCTAGTACAGTACAATAAAAACAAATTAACGGCGTATAACGATTCATTTTATTGTACATACATACATATCGTCATTAGATACGAATAAAGACACGAGCTCAAAAGTTGACAGCGAAAAAAGACGCGTAAAAAATTTCGGGGAAGGAGAATTCTTAGGGCCGGTTACTCAATGTCTGGTTAACACTAATCTTCGGTTAAACATCTTTATCGAAGTATTCGAATCCATGCAAAGCACAGGGAGTTGGTAACATCGATAACTATGTCTAATGGGCTATTTTTGCTTACGCGTAAAAGCACATTTAGCGCATTTAACTCTAAATGCTACTTTAAATGTACATTTATCCATACAAAATTCGTCACCTAAATGCAAGTAAATGCAACTCCATTTTTGCATTAAGAATCTAAATGTTAAAAGCAACCCTGTGATCTTCCAAAATTTCCACGATGCGAATATGGTTTAATGAGAAAAAGTGGCAACATTGCTTTTTCGAGTATACAGTGGCTAGCTGTGTTTCAGTTATCGCCGATCGAGATTTCATTTATTATATTACATTATTTGGACAAAGAAAATTTAAGCAAATTCAACGTCGATGTGATGCTGATAGAAATCTGGATCAATTTGTGATCAACTCTGTTTGTTTTGCTTCCTAATTAAGTGAACAAACGCAAACAAATTTTCGGGAATGGTTAAAACAATTCAAGTTTTTGTATTGAATTTTGGGTTTAAAATTTATATTTATGGTGCTCCACCGGCTCTGTTGCAATTGCCCAAAAATATAACTTTAAATGAAGCTCAACATTTCGGGTTGAAGTAACGCGCAATAATGCTGCTAATTTTATTTTCACTAAAAGACTTAAAGTTAGCTGCTTTCGCCGATACAACAGGGTTGCATCAATATCGTAAATTCTTAGATATAATCTATTACCTTAGGCGAATTCATATAAGGTGTTTTTAGGGTTGCAACATGTATGTTTGATCGCATTACAGTAATGTATATCAAGACGCGCCGTCTTCAACAGCAAAACGCGTCCAAGACCGGCTACTTGCAAATTATTTTATATGAATAAAACGTTGATAAATAAAATTTCAGAAGGAATACAATAAAATTATTTTGGCATGTTATTAAACATTTTTATGTAAATAAAAACTCTAGTATCAAACCCTTCAGTCTTATTTCGTTTTAATTTGAGTAAATTTTTTTAAGTCTAGAATTATATATGTAAATATTCATTAAATATAGGGTCCACCAAAAGACAGATCTCAGTATGTAATCACAGATCAGTTGCTATAATATGATATGGCGTGGATTAAAACACCGCGTAAAAGGACGTTCAAGTTACAGGCGCATCACAAAACTAAAACATGAATTCACAAAATGAAATTTCATTACTTACTATACTATAAGAAATATATGTGGTATATCCTACATGCAGTAACTACCGTATACCTCTTTATCAACTAAATTTGTAAACATTGAATTCATTTGAAAATCAACAGAACTTCAAATAACTCGCTTATTATAAACAAATAAATTCAAATATGTAAAACTTCTTCTTCGAAGACCTTAAACAGTTATTCTAAATGTAAAAAGTTAACTTCATGCTATGTCGAATTAAAACTTAACTCTAACATAAATACAAAAAAAAATAACTTCATGCTCTATCAAATGAAAACTTATCTCTAACCATATATGTAATATATATTGCTAGTACATTTACAGTACATTCCCCAACATCAGAGTGCCGAAATATTGAAAAAAGAAAGAGAGATCCGATAAGAGAATGTACTCAAAATGACAATTTTACTTTTCAAAATTCAGGAGTGGTTTCACAAATTTTTATTTAAAAACAACTCTTATGAAAAGTTAACAAAAAATAAAATTTTTGTAAATCTATGAGAAGCGCTGCGGCCGTTGGTGGTGGCAGAGGATAAAAATACCAGTTAGAGAAGGACCTGGCATCAGTTGGCATTTCCAATTGGCGTCAATCAGCATAGAAGGGAATCGAATAACGTGCCTTATTGGATTCGGCCAACATATAAAATACCACACCGCTTTATGTGTAAATAAGTTTTGTCTTTGTTAGGAAAAGATCTTCTATTTCCAATTTTTCACCGAGCCCCTACCGCTAAAATAATGTATATATATATTTTTTTTTTTATTTACTTTTTGATGCAGGTGCTCAAGAGTCATTTATGCATCAAAATTAAATTTTGAAAAAAGTTGTCTTACTTCATTTTCGCGAAAAGGGTTCGATATACATTTCAGCGTGAAGGAAACGTGAGACCGTCAAATTTGTGTTTGTTTGTTGAATTTCCTGAACCGGCCCTGTTATGATATGGCACTTCATTCTATGTAGTAGTTTACAAATATACACGTATACTTCTACAATCACAAATATTTTCATAGGCTGTCTTTCTTTGATTTCGAATGCAAAACTCATTGCGATCATATTGTACTAGCTATATAGAAGTATTACATACATATATGTCTCTAACATAAATATTAAAACAAAAAAGAACTTCAACATATATTTAAAACGCTTAAAGCTAACATAAATATTAAAACAAAAAATTACTTCAAAAACTACATATTTACACAATATTTACATGCGATAGATAGTGTTTGCTAGATTACACTATGCGACAGTCAAAATCGGGATGGGATGAAACCAACGGGAAATGTTATAT